ACCCTGGGATCGTGACCTGAGCCGAAGGCAGAAGCTTAACCATCTGAGCCACCCAGGCGCCCCTGTTATGGATTCTTGAGGCCTGGTTGAAGGTTGTTCTTCTAGGCCAAGTCAGTGTTTGCTTCTGCCAAGAGCACTGCCAAACCAGAGCCACCTTAAAGTAGATTTATAGATGGTAAGTTTTCTAGATTCACCTTAGTAATGTGCATGTGAGCCACAGACCTCTGGGAGGGCTGGCTTGTGGTTATAGTTCCTCAGGGGAAAATGTTTTTCTTCCACCAATTGCCAAGATTCAGGTCAGGCCATTTTCCTTGTAGCACCCAAGAATGGGAGTGTTGCTTCTACTTTTTCTTTCTTTTGTGGGCATGGTCTTAGATGTCCCAGGTCTTTGCAGTGCAGAACCACTTAGATTCCCATTTTGACCAGCTCTCAGCTTGGTCTCCTCTCCCCTCATTCTCTGAATGTCAAAGCTCATGGTCATCTTGGCTCAGCAGAGGTTATCTGGTAAAATAAATGTCAGTGGCTCAGCACACTCCTATTTGTTCTCCAGCTTGACTCAGTTTTAGCTTCTGAAGATTACTTTCCTTCTTTTCCAGATCATCATTGCATCCCAAAATGTTTTTAATATTCAGAACATTATTTTTCAGCTGGTGATTTGGTCATGGTAACCAGTTCCCTGCAGAGTTTGATGTCCTGTGATTGTCTCTACTTTTCTGCTTTTCCTTCCTGATTCTGAGCTTTTTAAGGGCAGGTGCTGGATCTAAATCATCATGTCCCCAAGTGCCCACACAGAGCCAGAGTCATGGGGAATTTTGATATTTTCGGATAAAGGAATTTTGTTTGCAGAACTGCTTCTTTCCTCCCTTTCCCTTCTACCTTTGATTTCCTCTCATAGAGTGCTGTGCTCTGTAGAGTCACACCGAGCAGACCAAGCATTTTCTCCTCTAAATGGAGAGCCCAGTATAGGACTTTTTTAAAGGATCGTCAGAAATCTCCGGCTGCATCTCTGTTAAGAGCCAGAAGTGGGGGGCACCTGGTGGCTCAGTCATTAAGCTTCTGCCTTCAGCTCAGGTCATGATCCCAGGGTCCTGGAATCGAGCCCCACATCGGGCTTCCTGCTCCACAGGAAGCCTGCTTCTCACTCTCCCACTGCTTGTGTTCCCTCTCTTGCTGTGTCTTTCTCTGTCAAATAAATAAAATCTTAAAAAAAAAAGAGCCAGAAGTGGAAGACTATCATCTACAGAGTTGGAGAAATCTAGATTCAAAACCCAAGGGGCGCCTGAGTGGCTCAGTCGTTAAGCGTCTGCCTTCAGCTCAGGTCATGATCCCAGGGTCCTGGGATGGAGCCCCGCATCGGGCTCCCCGCTCCATGGGAAGCCTGCTTCTCCCTCTCCCACTCCCTTTGCTTGTGTTCCCTCTTTCGCTGTCTCTCTCTGTCAAATAAATAAATAAAATCTTAAAAAAAAAAAAACCAACAATGCCACTGCTAACTGCAAATTTGAGTAAATGACTTCTTATTTGAGCTAAAGTTTCCTTCAAATTAGGATTCATGGGCTTCTCCTGAGGATTCATACATATAAGTCACCAGAAACTTAAAGTACTTAATTTGCAATAATTGTACTTGAGATTCATGTACACTGACTATCAGCAATAAGGCTAGAGGTGACAGTAAGAGGGAATAATGTCAGGCAGGAAAGCCAAGTTTAGAGAACTTATGATCTAGATTGGGAACCAGAAAGTGTTGGCCATGAAGATTCTGAGAATTGTGGTTTCTTGTAAAGCCATTGCAACCTGCATCCAGATGGTTGAGCTTTGCCAAGGCTACACAGGACCTGCTGATCCTGGTGGGTTGTCTGGCTCAGTAGTGGTGATTCTGGACAGGGTCTTCGTGGAAAGAGGTTTCAGTTGGGGTTTTAAGGGCCCTGGTTCTGGGATATGGGAACAAAGCTAAGAAGGTACCTGATACACTGAATTTGTTAGGCCAGGGAGAGGCTGGAGACCTCTGTTGCAGAAACTGTTGTCTGGGGCTGGGCCTGCCCAAGTATTCTGTGCTCCTGGGCCTGGGGGCTTCACCATGTTTTTGGGATGACTCCATGACTGAGGAGCTCAGTGTGTTCCAGTGTGGTCCTGCCCGGGCCAGGTCAGAACAGGTCCGTCTGGGCTCAGATCAGTTGGGAAAGTTGTTTCCTCTAAATCCATTATATACAGTGGGATTCTCTGGGGTTCAGAGCCGGCAAAGTTTTGTTACGCTCCCTCAAATCAAGAAAGACAGACTGTGTGTGTGTGTGTGTGTGTGTGTGTGTGAGAGAGAGAGAGAGAGAGAGAGAGAGAAAGGGAGAGAGACACACACTTTTGTTGTGTATGTTCATCTTGGGTCACATCAGTGTGAGTCTGGATCTTCCACCCATCAGTTCTGGCTGATCAGGAACAAGGAGAGTACAGTGAGGGCCAATTTATAGGAACAGGAACATAATAGCCAGATGTATAAACTGTTGAGAAAAGACTCATACTGCAAAAGAACTTTAGAGAACCATGATGTGTGCAACAAGAATGGTATGTGCTCTGGTCACTTTTGTTTCCACACTGCACCACCCCTGTTAAAGGCCCAGCACAGCCTGTTTTCTCAACATTGTTACCTTACTAAATTGCTTTCTCCATTTTTTTTTTTTATTCCATTGTAAAGATTTTGCCTATCAGTTTCACAAATAGCATATTGATCTGTGGTTTCAGGGCTTCACGTTCAAAGATGTGGCCATTTACTTCTCTCAAAAGGAGTGGGAATGCTTGCACTCTGCTCAGAAGGATTTGTACCGAGATGTAATGTTGGAGAATTATAACAACCTGATCTCACTGGGTAAGTTATGTGCCCCCCAAAATTCAGAATTGGCCTTCTGGAATTTTATGTTCTTTGTTAGGAATTTCTCATGAGGGGCGCCTGGGTGGCTCAGTCATTAGGCGTCTGCCTTCGACTCAGGTCATGATCCCAGCGTCCTGGGATCAAGCCCCGCATCGGGCTCCCTGCTCTGCAGGAAGCCTGCTTCTCCCTCTCACACTCCCCCTGCTTGTGTTCCCTTTTTCGCTGTCTCTCTCTCTGTCAAATAAATACATAAAATCCTTTAAAAAAAAAAAGGAATTTCTCATGAGTGCTTCTCAAATGCCTGGCTGAGTTAATGATTCTTGTTGCTTCCCAAAGAAGGGCCTATCCCTTACAAAGTTAGAATTGGCTGCTCCATTGGACAACTTTTTTTTTTTTTTTTTTGGGTTCCTCTGACCTTCACTCCTTCCATTGACCCTTAACCTGCTTACTCTTTCTTGGTAATCATGGGCTAATTTTAATTCTGATACACATACAACATAACTTTGTCCTTTTTGTTTTTTGAGCAGGACTTTCTGATTCTAAGCCAGATGTGATCTCCTTATTGGAGCAGGGGAAGGAGCCCTGGGTGGTTAAGAGTCAGGAAACAAAAGAGTGGTGCCCAGGTAAGTGATGGTGACTCCTATGAGGAACACTGTGGCAGGTGGTCACCCAGGGGGCCAGTGAGAAGGCAGCACATCTGAGCTATTGGTAGGAAAGCTTGCTGAAAAGGTCTGAGATCTGGAGAAAAAAGGAAGGATGTTTCAGCATGAGGCCTCAAATTTTCACTCTACTTATCACTCTTGCTACCTTTCCTCATATTTGCTTCTGATTTCAGGAAGGAAGTGCCTTCCTCCTTCCCATGAGACAATTTTCCCTGTACTTGGTGTCCAGTTTTGTCCTGACTTTTTAAAGCAGCTAGCTCTATTGAGATAGAAAATCACATATTCTAAAATTCACTTAAAAAAATAAAATAAAATTTACTTAAAGTATACTGTTCAGTGGTTTTTAATATAGTCACAGAGTTCTGCAACGGTGACAATGATCTAATTTTAGAACTTTTTCATCACCCCAAAATGAAACCCCATACCCATAAGCAGTCACTTCTACACCCAGCCCTAGACTTCTGTTTCTGTAAGGTAGGTAGTGATCTCCCTCTTTCATTCCTGGTATCAGTATTTGTCTTCTTTCTTTTTTTTCTCGGTCAGTCTAGCTAAAGGTTTGACAGTTTTGTTGATCTTTTTCAAAGAACCAACTTAGAGTTACGTTGATTTCCCTGTTCTTTCTATTTTGTTCATCTACCCTCTAATCTTTATTATTTTCTTCATTCTGGTATCTTTGGGTTTACTTTGTTCTTTATCTAGTTCCATAATCTGATTTGAGATCTTTCTTGGGTTTTGGGGTTTTGTTTTTGTTTTTGTTTTAATATAGGCATTTTAAGCTGTAAATTTCCCTTTAGGATCTATTTTAACTATAACCCATAAGTGTTGGTATATTAAGTTTTCCTTTTCTAAGCATTTTCTAATTTCTTTTGTGATTTCTTCCTTGACCCATCAGTTATTTAAGAACATGTTTTCTGTTTCCTTGTTGATCTTCTCTATCCATTATTGAAAGTAGAGCATTAAAGTCTTCAATTTGTTGAATCGTCTGTTTTTTCTGCAATTCTGTTTTTGCTTCATGTACTTGGGGCTCTCTTTATTAGGTACATACATGCTTATAACTGTTACCATTTCTTTTTAGCTTTTTATTTTGAAATAATTTAAGATTCAGAGGAGTTACAAAAGTAATACAGAGAGTTCCCTTGTACCCTTTGCTCAGCTTTCCCTAATGATAACATCTTACCTAGTGCTAGCACACTGTCAAAACCAGGAAATTGGCACAACAGTAGTAATGAAACTATAAGTAGACCTTATTCAGATTTCACCGATTTTCATACACACTCATTTATTTTTATTTTTATTTTTTTATTTTTTTGGTGTATATTCCTATGAAATTTTGCAGCATCTGTAGATTTATATAACTCCTACCACAATTGGGATACAGAACCTTCAGCAGTTTAGATATTTTTTATAAAATATTTTTGAAACATGCTATGATGCTTATTAGTTGAATAAAGCCAGATACAGAAATTTTAGAGTCAGTGCTGTTTTGGTTGTATAAAAAGGATGCTACAAAACACTGGAAGGAAATAAAAGGTAACAGTGAATAACCTAGGAAGTAGGAAGTATGCTGATTTAAGGGCCGATTTAAATCCCTAATCACTGATAGAACCCTGCAAGTTTTCTTTTTTAGAAACCTGGCCTGTACTATGGCCAGAGAAATGAGGGTCTTTTTAGGGGAGATGGTTATAGGTAAGGGACTGCTGTGAGAGAATATTAGGGGCAATATTACCAGACTGGTAAGACTTTTCAGATCATGACAAATGATACGAAGCTGGAAGGAGAGGTAGTAGGATCTAGGTAGTATGGTGGGAATGCTGTAGAAGGTGGAGGAACTTACTCATTTAAGGCCCCAAGGAGAGAAAGTCATGAATGGGTGTCCTAGAAGACCTGAATGGAGGTCCACGTCATGCAGGGCCTTCTCACCAAGTCTAGGAGTTTGGATTTTTTTCTTTTTTCTTTTTTTTAAAGATTTATTTATTTATATGAGAGAGAGCACATGAGAGAGGGGAGGGTCAGAGGGAGAAGCAGACTCCCTGCCGAGCAGGGAGCCCGATGCGGGACTCGATCCAGGGACTCCAGGATCATGACCTGAGCCGAAGGCAGTCGCTTAACCAACTGAGCCACCCAGGCGCCCTGGATTTTTTTTCTTAAGGACACTTGGCAGCCACTGAATGTTTTAAACAAGATAGGAACATGAGTGGATTGGATTTCTAAGACCTCTCTCTGGCTTCCTGTAGAGATTGAATCGGATTCCTGAGTGAAAATGGTGAAACTTACTAGGAGCCTGTTTGGGAAGTCCAGGTGATTTGGCCTTGTGCTAGAATGAGACCACGGGATACAGACATCAGAGAGACTGAAGATCAATTTAGGGGAATGATTTTGTAGCTCTGAGGAGTGATTGTGCAGGAGAGGAGCAATGGGAGCATCCTTGATGGATGTTACTTTTTGATCCGAGCATTCCTTTAAGGCCCAAATTTATTATTCGAATCCATGCTTTTTACAGTTTTCCTTCTCTAACAGATAGTTTTTTCCAAAATATTTAAAATAACAGCATCTTGGGGCGCCTGGGTGGCTCAGATGGTTAAGCGTCTGCCTTCGGCTCAGGTCATGATCCCGGGGTCCTGGGATCGAGTCCCACATCGGGCTCCTGACTCGGCGGGGAGTCTGCTTCTTCCTCTTCCTCTGCCTCTCCCACTGCTCATGCTCTCTCTCTCTCTGTATCTCTGTGTCTCAAATGAATAAATAAAATCTTTAAAAAAAATAAAATAAAATAACAGCATCTTCTGACATCTGACATCTGGAACTTCCCATACAGCAAAAAATGCCAACATCACGTTACCAGTCATCATATAGACCTTGCTTTTAGTGCCCTTCTCCGAAGGACAACTGTGTAGTGTGGCATTTTCATTAGATTGCACATATAGATCATACATTAATCACAGAAGAATCTTTTCTTCTTACCAGTTCTAGGTTTATTCATCTCTCTAGATTTCCCAACTGTTTGTCTTTTCTGTAACTTGCTTTTGGCTGGTCCAACCACCCTGGACCTTAGCAAGAACTAAGGGACTATCCTAAACAGCAGGGTGCCTGCACAAGCTCTAACAGCTTACACGGAGCATCTCCTTTTATCTCAGCCTTCTTGATTTCTGAGTAGTTAAGTAACTGTCCAGTGTCATACAACTAGCAAGTCATGGGACTAGGATTCACACCCAAGCAGTCTGGCTCTATGTTTTTTGTCACAACACCATACAACCTCTCATAAATGGTTGCCATAGTATTCTTAGTTTCCGTTAGAATTTTTTCAGAATTACATAAAAGATTCTCGTTGTGTAAAGCTATCAGTCTTCCAGGGGACTGGTATAAGCACATGTACAGATACACCCTAATGGTGCTGGCTTGTTAATTGAACTATGTGCTGGGGATTGGTTATATCATGGTGAGTGAAATAAGTATTACACTAGTTCTAGGCCACTTTGGGAGAAATTATACCAGTAGATAAACTGATGAACAAATGCGTAATTCCAGAATTAGGAAAAAGATTATGAAGGCAAAAAATGGGTACTTTACAGAAAATTAAGATACTTACAGTGAAAGAAACTGGGCATGCAGGGATTCTGGAGCAGAGCATTCATGGCAAACAAAGCATTTCCTAAAAGAGTCTAAGATGAGATCGTAATTGGCATGATCTAGGAGTCCAGTAGAGGCCAGTAGAGAGGTACATAGTGAGTGAAGGTGAGAGCATCTTAAAATGAAGGTGAATAGGGAAGCAGGGTCCAAACAGTGCAGAGTTTTGCAGGTCTAGTAAAGAATGTTGTATTTTATTATAAGCACAGATGTGACGTACTGTATTTAAACAGTGACTCCCACACCTTGAGTTGCCTCTGCATCACTGAGAGAGATGAATAAAAATGCCAATAGCCATTCATTCATCAAATAGTATTTACTCTGTACAGATACACTGAAGGGCAGACAGACAATACAGAAGTAAACAAGTTAAAGTATAATATCTGTGAAGTTTAGAGGTGAAGTATACTGGTGTCTGCAAGATGGATGAAGGAGAGCCAAATGTTTATTATAGAATCTAGGTAGTGGGAATATGGGAGTTCACTGTCTCAATTCTTTTAATTTTTCTGTGTGTTGAAAGTTCTCATAATAATGTTGGCAATATAGATAAAATGATATGTGATGATAAGTGCACTGCAAAAAAAATTAAGTAGAGTAAGAGGGGCCTGTTTGGTAAAGAGTGGTCTCATGTTTGAGTAGCAGTCAGAATGAAGTACTCGAACAAGCCATATTAATATCTTAGGGAAGATATTTGCAGGCAGAGATTCTGAAGGAGGAATGTGCTTCACAAGTTTGAAGAACATCCAGTTGGTCAGGGAGCTGGAGCAGAGTCAGCTGAAGAGAGGAGATCGGCAATGAGGTCAGAAAGAGGGTAGTGTGAGACAGGTTCAGGGAGGGTTTTGTAGACTGCATAAGGACTTGGACATTTATTCTGCACAAGAGGGAAATCCAGTGGAGACTTTGAGGCAGAAGAAAGGCCTAATCTCACTTAACAAGAACACTCTGGCTACTGTGTTAGGTATGGGATATTAAGAGGGCAACAGGGAAAACAGGGAGACCTGTTAAGAAAGTGTGTTAACCTTGGTGAGAGATGGCTTTGGGCAAAGTGGTAGAGATACTGGTAGAGAGAAGTAGTCAAGATCTGGATATATTTTGAAGCTAGAGATGAGAGGACTTGCTATTAGATGTAATGTCCTACTCTTTTAGATTCTCATTTAGTTGGTCTTAGGTGGTTCCTGGACATCGTGTTTGTACCGTTCCTCAGCTGATTCTGATTTTCACCAGAGGTGAAGAACTACTTCCTTCACAAGCTCCCCTCATTTTCTCTATTCTCATCTCCTCCCCCCACCCACGACCCTGGGCTTTTTTTTTTTTTTTCCCCAAATTTCAATGCTGTGTTAAGAGCTATTAAATTACTCACTATTTTTAGTTTGTCATTTCTACCTTAGAACTTTCCTTTCTCCTGCCACATGAAAATACCTTCTATTTTCTTTCTTGTTATCTTACAGATTGGGAGTCCAGAAGAGTAACCAAGAATTTATTTCCAAAGGAGCACAGTTATGAAATTAAATCATTGCACTTGGAGATAAAAAGACTTACAAGCTCTGACCTTGAGTGCACTAGGGTCAGAAATAACAGAGAAATCAAATGCCAGTTGGAGAGACAACAGGAGGGACATTTCAGACAAGCCGTAATAACCTCTGAAGAAAGGTCCGCTTCCATTCAGTGCATAGTTCATAGAGTGCCTCAGACAGTTCATACCAGAGCGAAAACCTACGAATGCAAGGGATGTAAGGAAGCTTTCAGGTGCCAGTCACACCATATTCAACACGAAAGAAGTCATAATAAGGAAAAAGACTCTAAATGTGGAGAATGTGGGAAAGCCTTTAATAGTAGGTCAGACTTGATTAAGCATCAGAGAATTCATGAAAGCAAAAAAAGTAAAGAAAATAAGAAATGTGCCTCTATCCATGGCTCTGAAACTACTAAACCTCAGAACATTAACAGTAGTGAGAAACCTCATAAATGTAAGGAATGTGGGAAAGCCTTTCATTCTAACTCACAACTCCGTAAACATCAAAAGATCCACATAGGTGAGAAACCCTATAAATGTAAGGAGTGTGGGAAGGCCTTTCCATCTACCTCACAACTTAATTTACATCAGAGAATTCATACTGATGAGAAATACTATGAATGTAAGGAATGTGGGAAAGCCTTTACCCGTCCCTCACATCTTCTTCGACATCAGAGAATCCATACTGGTGAGAAACCCCATAAATGTAAGGAATGTGGGAAAGCTTTCCGTTACGACACGCAACTTAGTCTTCATCAGATAATTCATACCGGTGAAAGACACTATGAGTGTAAGGAGTGTGGGAAGGTATATAGTTGTGCCTCTCAACTGAGTCTACATCAGAGAATCCATACTGGTGAGAAACCTCATAAATGTAAGGAATGTGGGAAAGCTTTTATCTCTGATTCACATCTTACTCGACATCAGAGTGTTCATACTGGTGAGAAACCATACAAATGTAAGGAATGTGGAAAGGCCTTTCGTCGTGGCTCGGAACTTACTCGACATCAGAGAGCTCACACTGGTGAGAAACCCTATAAATGTAAGGAATGTAAAATGGCCTTTACTTGTAGTACAGAACTTATTCGACATCAAAAAGTTCACACTGGTGAGAGACCCCATAAATGTAAGGAATGTGGGAAGGCTTTTATTCGGAAGTCAGAACTTACTCATCACGAGAGAAGTCATAGTGGTGAAAAGCCCTATAAGTGTAAGGAATGCAAGAAGGCCTTTGGTCGTGGCTCAGAACTTAATCGACACCTGAAAATTCATACTGGTGAGAAACCTTACAAATGTAGGCAATGTGGGAAGGCCTTTATTCGTGGCTCACACCTTAGTAAACATCAAAGAATTCATACGGGAAAGAGGAGTGAATGAAGTCATGGGAAGGCTCAAAATTTTACTGACCTCTGCAAAGTCACACTAGTAAAACACAAAACCCTCTGATTTTAAGGAATGTGGGAAAGCTTTTGAAGATAACAATATCAGAGCTCACAGTGTGGATACAGGGCCTTTATTTGAGGGCCAGAATTTATTTGACATGTGTTAATGCTGAGATACTTTATAAATGTTAGAGATTGAGAGGGTTCTATTTATGCTTCAAAATTTATTAGACATCAGGGTTCAATTGATAAAAGTGAAAAAATTCTATGAATGTGAGGAAAGTGGGAAGGCTTTGGATGGCAGTTAATGTGTCAGAGATAGTGATACAAACGGTTCTCAACATCAGGGTCATTTGCCCTGTGGGAAATCAGAGGATTCATAATATAAATGTCATAAATATAGGAGACCAATTTGCGTTAGCTAACAAATTACTCGTCTCATAATTCATACTTGAGGAAGGCTACACACAGTGTTAAAAATGCAGCAAATTCTTCCCACTCAGATCTTAATTAAATTATTTGCAAGCTCATCTTCTAAAATTAACCTGAACTGAGGCATAGTGGGAAAGGATTTAACCAATGCTCAGTCTTTACTTGCCTTATAGGGCAAATTACTTAACTAGGTCTAACTTTCTCACTTAAAAATTAGTAATATTAATTAGCACCATCTTGTTAGCATTATGAACATTAAATAATTACATTATATCCCATAGAATTCTGTATGGCTCATATTGCAAGTGAGTTAAATAAGAGCTGATTTTATTTATTTTCATATTTGTGGATAGAGATCATATGAGAGGAAGGCCTTATGTGTACTGTGACTATAGGAACATCTTAAATCATCTCTTTATTGAATGTCAGGTAATTCCTTCTGGAGAAGAATTGAAAACCGAAGTTTTCATTCACCTTGCCCTCTTGCCTCACTAGGGGAAAGGAAATCAAGGCAAGTTACAATTCAGAGTGAATGAAAAAAAAAACTCCACGTTGAAAGTTGTAGGATGCAACAGAGCTATACTTAGGAAAATTAACTTCTTAAGATATGTGTAGAAAATGTGGACAGTTAATGGCCACGATTCATTGTCAGTTCAATGTACTTGGTGCACTGCCTGTTCTAATAGGTTCCCTGTAAACACTTGTTGAAATCTGAGGAATGAGAGAGTGAATGAATAAGCATTTGACTCTAGTGTGTAGAAAAGCTCTAATAAGAGCAAAGCCAAAAGAAAACAACAAAAAACCTTGAAAACTTGAGATGGGGGAAAAAAAACCCTCAGACATCATGAATGAGAGGAAATGTAACTACAAAAAAGGAGTTTTAAGGAAAGAAGGCAATATTGTTGCCCCAGACACTGTTGGTTGCCTATCTTTTGGTGTTAGCCATTCTCCCTTTGCCAGGACTGCCTGCTGCCAATCTAAAGTCTAGGTCTTGCACCTAGTTTGCTTTGCATGTGGGCATATATATGACAGTCCTGCCCATACAAGATCTGAGCAAAAGTCTGCAAGTAGGTTTTAGGTTAAATTTTCTTTCCTAACAATAGGAGGAAATAGTCTTCTTATGTTACAGGATGCATGTCTATATGTCTGTGTGATACCTGGAATTGTGGCTGTTTGCTACCAGAGGGGTGAGAGGCTGAGATTGGCAGAGGGGATAGATTGGAATTACCTGCATCCTTGACACTGTTGAACTGATGAAATGATGCAGAGCTGCCCTGTCCCTGGATTTTGAGTAAAATAAGAAACTTCATGCATATCTATTTTAAGTTTATACTCAATTTTTTATGATAGACCTGAGTCCTGGGAAAAAACATTTTTGTATGTATATATACATATTTATTCACCTTTAATTTAGTAAGATGAAATGTTTATATTCAGCTTTATATACTATATCTGAAATTGTGGAAAAGCATTATTTTCTTAAATACTTTTTAGACGTGTATACATGTATTCTACTTTGATTTAGTAAGACATGGGAAATGTTTTTTTGTTTTGTTTTTACATTCAGCATTGTATTGTGTGTGTTTATATTCAGCTCTTTAAAGCATGGCTGAAATCCTCAGTATTTTCCTGAATAAAGTAAGAACCAATAAAAAAACTGATTAGGGCGCCTGGGTGGCTCAGTCGTTAAGCGTCTGCCTTCGGCTCAGGTCATTATCCTGGGGTCCTGGGATCGAGTCCCGCATCGGGCTCCCTGCTCAGCAGGAGGCCTGCCTCTCCCTCTCCCACTCCCCCTGCTTGTGTTCCTGCTCTAGCTATCTCTCTCTCTGTCAAATAAATAAATAAAATCTTTAAAAAAAAAAAATCTTAAAAAAAAAACTGATTAAAGAGGTATACATGATTCCTCTAGTATCAGAATATCTAACATAAAATCTCCTAAGTCTCCAAGATACAGAGTCACAGCTATGAAGCTAGCATAATCCTTTAAAGAAATTTGGTAAAGGACAACATCCAAATCAAATCAGCTATAAAAAATAATCCACTGTACTTATGGTATATGAATATTCCAATTAAAATAGTAAGTAAAATCTAGCAGCCTGTTGAAGAAAATAGGGTGGTTGGTTTTTTGGGGTCTTTTTGTCCAGAATAAAATGGTTCATGACCCGTCCAATTTTTTTTTTAATGTAATGTATAAAGGTAGTGTTTTCACATTGAAAACTAGACCCTAAAATAACGATTTCCCACGGAAAGTAGTAAATGAGAAACTATTAAAATATATACATATTCAACTGCTGTGAAGTCACTGCAGTTATCCACTTAATCCTACCTCATGGGCTGCAGACACATTTGGAATAATCACCATCCAGTGGATTCCACTTTAGCCTCACACTTTAGAAAATGATACATACTTCAAATAAGTTTTTGAGTTTTTTTAAGATTTTATTTATTTATTTGACAGAGATTGTGAGAGAGGGAGCACAAGCAGGGGGAGTGGGAGAGGGAGAAGCAGGCTCTCCGCTGAGCCCAGAGTCCAATGCAGGGCTCTATCCCAGGATCCTGGGATCATGACCTGAGCCACCCAGAAGCCCCAGTTTTATACTCTTAAAGGACATACTATTCTGTGGTTGGGAATGAAGGAATGAAAAACTGTTAGGTAAGAGTAAAAAATGTAATTTTTTTAGTATAAAGGTAAGTTGGGTCATTTTATATTGGTTCTTATTTAACATATTAAAACACATGTACTAAGGCAAAAGGGCTTTCTTTCCCCATCTACCACTCACACAAACACAATGACCCAGGACTTTACTATTTTATTTTTTTAAAATATTTATTTATTTGA